GAGGGGGTAGGGAGGAAAGCTGCGGGGAAGGAGGTGAGGGAGTGCTGGGAGGAAACGGGTCCGTGGACGGGAGGAGGCCGGGAGGCAGCCAGAGCTGCTGAAGGAGGATAGCCTGTGAGTGAGGTGAGGGAGAATCACAGAATGGCCTCGGGTGGAAGGGACCTCAAGAGACCATTTAGTCCAACCTCCCTGTCGTGGGCAGGGACGCCTCTCAACTAGATCAGGCTGCTCAAGGCTCTGTCCAGCCTGGCCTTGAACACCTCCAGGGAGGGGGCAGCCACAACGTCTCTGGGCAATTTATTACAAAGTCTTGCCACCCCTGTACTGAAGAATTTCTTCCTAAGATCTAATCTAAATCTATTTTCCTTCAACTTAAACCCACTTCCCCTTGTCCTATCAGTGGACACTCTTGTAAAAAGTCCCTCCCCAGCCTTCCTGTAGGTTCCCTTCAGGTATTGGAAGGCAGCTATTAGGTCCCCCCAAAGTCTTCTCTTTTCAAGACTGAACAATCCCAGCTCCTTCAGCCTCATAGCAGAGGTGCTCCAGCCCCTGGATCATCTTTGTGGCCTCCTCTGGACTCGTTCCAACAGATTTATGTCTCTCACATGGTGGGGACACCAGAACTGGACACAGTATTTGAGGTGGGGTCTCCCAAGACCAGATTAAAGGGGGAGAATCACCTCTGTTGACCTGCTGGCCACACTCCTCTTGATACATCCCAGGATGCATGGGGGAAGGGGTGTTGACCAGATTACAAGGGGCTAACTGGAGCAGAAGAGACCCACATGCACACCCTCCTTTTCCTCATGGTGTCAAGGAGGCTTTGATCCTCCCTCCAAGTGGGGATGTGAAGGAGCAAGAGACATGGAGGAAGCTCCGGCATGGTGGGAAGCCCTCACACGCTTTGAGAGAAAGCCCTGACACTTGCACTGGCCCTGGGGCCCGTGTATCATCCCTCGCGAGGAGACAGCCCACGTCCCCTTACAGCATGGGCTCGTCTCGGGCATCAGAGCTCTTTCCTGCCATGATGTGCTGGGGCTATGAGCAGTGATCCCAGATGGAAGAGAAGGGATGATGCTGGGCTCCAGGGTGCTGGCAGCCAGTCTCGATCCTGCTCATTTTCCTTTCCGCAGCGCTCCCAGCAGCTGAAGCGTGCAGCATGGGCGGCCCCGGCACCACACCGCTTGAACTCCGGCCTGCCCATGAATATCGGGGTGCTCTTTGTGCCGCAGCAGGAGGCGTGGGTGGTGGAGAGGATGGGCAAGTTCCACCGAATCCTTGAGCCTGTAAGGAGCCGCTTTTCTCCCCTTCTGGATTCAGCAGGTTCCTAAAGCTGTAGCGAGGCGCGTCCTTTGCACAAGGATTCAGGTGGTGGTGTGCTTATTCTTCTAGACTGCAATCCTTTTGACTGCTTGTAGACTAATTTCCCTTAGTGGGGTATTAAAAGCAATGAGACACCTAAATTCGCATTGTGTGAAGCGCACTTGCTCTGTCTGCAGCATCTGCAGCGTGTAGCGTACTTGGGCTTTGTTTGTGCAGCTCACTCTAATCTGGCTGAGCTCCCTGGGGCGAAAACCCCATACTGGAGGGTTCAGCCATCTAATCTCACACCTTTTCCCAGGGTTTGAACTTCCTCATCCCTCTGCTGGATCGAATTCGTTACGTACAGAGTCTCAAAGAAATTGTCATTAATGTCCCAGAGCAGTCAGCGGTCACCCTAGGTAAGGAGCAGCTTCTGTGTCCTGCCCCTTTCCTTCTGCTGCGTCTGAGGTGAGCAAGGGACAGAGTGGGAGGAGTGGAGATGTCCCTGGCGTCCAGTCTTGCCCATGCTCTTGGCACTCTGAGCTGGGGCACCCCAAAAAGTCCTTTCTGCCCTTTTGGGGCTGCACCTGTCCTTTCATGGTGGGTTTAACACACCTGTGCAGGAATCTGTTCTTCAGATGTTTTCCTTTGCCAACTCAAATCTCTGTGTTTCTGCAGAAAGGATTTCAGATCAGGCTAATGGACTGCCCCGCCTTCCTGCTTAAATCTTTAGTTATGAAGATAACTATAGTAGGGAATTTTTTTATCTAGAAACCTGAGACTTCTTGTGTATTAAAACATAAAAACGTGGTGTTTTCTAGGGAACATCCACGTCCTTTATACAAAGCTCCTTAGATAAGGAGATCTATTTCAGCTAATCCCTCTTCCCATGCCATGCTGTTGACACCAGGAAGGAAAAGGATGACCCTGCCCAGCTCTGCAGATTCCATTGCAAGAGAGAGCATTGCTGTACTTCGTCTTGCTGCTCCAGTAAACAGGGTGTATTGTTCTCTCTCGGCAGATAACGTCACCCTGCAGATCGATGGTGTGCTTTACCTGCGGGTTATGGACCCCTACAAGGTACCGTCCCTTCTGCAATGATTCTTGGCCCAAGTCAAACTTGCAGCTTCTGTGGCTGTGCCTGGTGCAGTCTGCGTGTGCTGCACTGCTCAGTCAGCCGCCTTGGCAGCCCCTTGGGCCTCCCTAGGCTCTGGACTTCACTTTCTTTGGCGGGAATGTCCGTGGCAGGTTTCTCTTAGTGCTATGTTTGCCTGTCCTGCCTTGTTCGAGGTCCCTCTCGGCACTGCCATTTGCATTTTCTTTGCTTCTGTTCTCCAGGCCAGCTATGGGGTGGAAGATCCTGAGTATGCGGTGACTCAGCTGGCCCAGACCACCATGAGATCTGAACTTGGCAAGCTGTCACTTGACAGGGTCTTCCGGGTGAGCTGATGGAGGTGGATCAGGGAGCTGCTGGCGTCTCTCGGAGCCCCAGAGCAGTCTGTGTGGCCAGGCTGATGTGCTTAGCAGCAGAACGCCCTTTGCTTAGAGGGCTTCTGTCTTCTGTTTCAGTTGACCTATTAGTGAATCCTTGGAGATGGGTCTTGTTTCAGGTTGTTTTTTTTTTCAACGGGCTATTTTTTGCCCTGCCCTGGGTTAGTTGGAAAGGGTGATGGCTGACGTGTGCCCAGACCTGGCAGTCTGTGTGGCCAGGCTGATGTGCTTAGCAGCAGAACGCCCTTTGCTTAGAGGGCTTCTGTCTTCTGTTTCAGTTGACCTATTAGTGAATCCTTGGAGATGGGTCTTGTTTCAGGTTGTTTTTTTTTTCAACGGGCTATTTTTTGCCCTGCCCTGGGTTAGTTGGAAAGGGTGATGGCTGACGTGTGCCCAGACCCGGCCAGTCCAGCCACATTTCTCTTAAGTCGGTGACTCTTTGCTCAGCCCCAGTGATGAATGTTCTGGCTGACCCAGTTCATGGGGGGCCATAACCCTTGTGCTGTGTTTGCTGGGCAGAAACAGGAACTGTTTGCATTCCTGGATGGTGTTTGTGTCCAGGTGTATGCCAGATGTTTGTATCCCAACAATTTCAGTTTGGGATGCTGCCCTCCCTAGAAGACAGTGACCCCTTCAAAAGATGTGGGAGGCTTTTGACCCTGCCAGTGGGTTTTTCTGGCTGACCTTGACCCTTGAGGGGGGTGCCTCTTTTAGCAGCTGACTCCTGTTCTTGTGCAAAGTGCCTCTTCTTTGCTCTCTTCCATTTCTTTTGTGCCTGCCAGGAGCGGGAGTCCCTCAACGCCAACATTGTGGATGCTATCAACCAGGCTTCAGACTGCTGGGGCATTCGATGTCTGCGCTACGAAATCAAGGACATCCACGTACCCCCACGTGTGAAGGAATCCATGCAGATGCAGGTTTGGTTCTCTGATGAGGTGATCTGGAACAAGAGGGGAGTCTCCCCTTCCGTGCTGCACCATTTTTATCTGTCCAGGGCTGGCAGCACTGTCCCCTCCTGCAGCGAGGGGAGCTCATTAGCACTTTGGCTGACAAAGTACAGCTGTTGAATAATACCTGTTCTGGTTTTGGTGGTGGTGGTCCCTGCCTCGTACACACAAGCCCTGCCTGGTACACACAGCAAAAGTACAGCTATTGAATAATACCTGTTCTGGTTTTGGTGGTGGTGGTCCCTGCCTGGTACACACTCTGCTGCGATCTGTTGGAAGGAAGTCCCAGAGCTGAAAGTCTCCCCCCTTGAGAAAAGCCAGGTGCCAGATCTCTGGGCTGAAGGGGAGGAGAGGAAAGCTGCCGTCTGCTTCAGTGTGGACAGTGCTGCGGAGGGCTGTGTGAGGAGCAGAACCAGCCCTCACTGGGGACCACGCGTGTTCTGTAGCTGTGTTCCCGTCCTCTGCTGAGCTGTGCTTGCCCAAGGAGGATGTAGGAGCGTGTCTTCACTGCGCTTGCCCCATGGATGAGATTATCCTGGCATGGCCGTACCGAGCTGTCATCTGACCTGTGTTTGCAGGTGGAGGCAGAGCGACGGAAGCGGGCGACAGTGCTGGAGTCAGAGGGGACGCGAGAGTCGGCTATCAACGTGGCCGAGGGGCAGAAACAGGCCCAGATCCTGGCATCGGAAGCTGAGAAGGCTGAACAAATCAACAAAGCTGCTGGTAGCGCCCTGGGCTAGAATGTGTGGGGCCCTGGGGGATCCATAACCCTCTGTGCCAAGTCGCGATATTCTTGGGGAGCAGACCACATCGCTGTCTGTGGGCCAGGCGTTGGCCACAACGATCCTTTCCTGCTGGCGCCCTCGGGCCAAGCTCCCACTGCGAGCGGCAGGAGGTGCATGGCAGGAGTATCGCCAGGCAGCTGCTGGGGAAGAGGAGGCTTCGGACACGTGAAATTGGCTTGGTGTACACCTTGAAGTTGTCCTAATTCTCACCGCAAGCGCTTCGTGGCCGTTCTGATGCACGTTCTACTGTCGTTCGTTGCAGGAGAAGCCAACGCCATGCTGGTCAAGGCCAGGGCCAAGGCGGAGGCCATTCAGCTCCTGGCAGCTGCTTTGGCACAGCAGGTGAGTCGCGGCTCCTTGGGGCGATCACCACTTTGGTGTTTGCACGGGGAGGGCAGGTGAAGCCACAGGGCCAAGATGTCACCTGGCTTTCTTGTGGATGCTCCCTGGTATCTTCAGCAGCTGCGAGCGAGGAGTTTTGCTGTCTTGGGGGCCATGACCGGCTGGGGCAGACTGGGGACAGGGGCGCCAGGGAGCTCTTGTGGTACATGACTGGCAGCTGAACCTTATCCCTCTCTACCCCAGCACGGCAATGCTGCTGCATCTCTCTCCGTGGCAGAGCAGTATGTGAACGCCTTCTCCAAGCTTGCCAAAGACTCCAACACTGTCCTGCTGCCCGCCAACACTGGTGACATCACCAACATGGTTGCACAGGTCAGTGAGGTTGGAGGGCCTCTTGTTTCCTGCCTCGGGGGAGGTGGAGATGGCAGCCTGACGGGGCATGGCCCTCTCTTCCCCGTGGCTCTCTTGTCCT